AAATTAACGGTTGTTGGGCCATTCCCCAAAGTTACCATCTTGCATTTTAAAATTGTTCCATAAATTAGGACCCTGACCAACTTGTGAAGAATGATGGGACATATATCCCAGGTTGAACCTACAAGGGATTGATGAATTCGTTGGGGTTCTAGAAGATGGAGTTGATGTCGTGCTTTTCCCTTTGCCCATATCAAGTCCCTCATAATTAAAATTGTCGGCATACCTAATTTTTTTTTCCACATAAGTACAACAAATAGAGTTAAGCTAATTCACCACATATAAAACAAAGTTAAGCACCTAAAATATAATTTGATAGAAGTACATACAACACATAGTGCTCATCACATAAATGTTACACATGAACCTTAAATAGTTTTACAAACTTTATCATAAAGTAATGTTCTTAAAAATAGAAATTTCATAAGCAAGTTTTCCTAATACAATCATCACTACAAAGTCAAGCAAATTCACATGCCAATTTCATTGGTGTTCTCATCCTTATAATTTTCACAATACTCAACCTACATCTCCCAAGCTATTTGATCTCTATGATCATTCCATGCGTTTCTTAATTGAGTTTTCTCTCTTTGAGTTTGGGGTTGAGGGAAATTAACGATATTGTTTTCTCCTTCGCCCACAACATCACCTTCATCCTCTTCAATATCAATTATCGTATTGAATATGTCATCATCCAGGTAAACCATTACAATGTAATTATGAAGAACCGCACATACCAATACAATATCAACTTGTACAGAAAAAGGGTAATGTGGCTTAATAGTGAGAATCTTGAAACAATTCTTCAAACAACCAAATGTAGATTTAACCAGACCTTAATGAAGAATGACTAAGATTGAATAATTTCCTTCTATTTTTGGGTGTTCTTCTTATTTGTTCCTTCAAATGGTAACAGACACCACGATACGGGGAGATGAAATCGAGCATGATTGTATATCTAGCATCACACAAGTAATATTTCTCTACAATTTTCATGATATAAAATTGTTTATTACTATTTTTTAACATTGCATTGAATATCAATCTTATTGTTAAAGTAAATATGTAGGATTTAAAATTTTAATGAAATTACCATCATATAATCCCAGACCATGAGGTTGTGGCCTAGATAATGCATCTTGAAGGACTCTAAAGTCGTTTGCGGAACCTTTCTATGCCACTAATATGTAGGTGAATAGCTTGCTTGGAGTACACGCCGTTAGAACATTTTATGTGACTCGTTTGTGACCATGGAATCGTGGAGCAAGATTGGCGGGTAACATGACATCAATATGTGTCCTATCTATCATACAAGGCTATCCTAGAGAGTATAAAATATTACTAGTGAATATTTTTATTAAATTAAATAAACATGATTTTATTCACAAAGTATAGAGTGTATACCTTAAAATAGGGCAGTATAAAGGGTTGTTAATGATCTCTTGTCGAACTTCATTCCGTACTTGTCTCAAGAAGCATGGACGTATGTAGCTAATAACTTCTAACACCTTGTTAAAATATCAACTTATAGTCTTAGCAGATCTAATAAAATGTGACTTAACAATTTAATTTTTAGTTTTATGCTTCAGTATATTCAAAGTCATAGTAAGCTGCTCCTCCATTGTAACTTGTCTCGAGTCTTGTAGCAAATCATTCCTCCTTATAATTTCTGCAAGCTTTATAAAAGCACCACTGTGCATTCTAATATTTTTAACACTACTATCACCGGATCCAATATATAACCAGTCCATGTGATCTTTTCTAACTTTATTATTTTATTTTCTCCTCATTAGGACCCTGACGAGTGGATCTACGTCTACTTTGCATTCTCCTCATAAATATCATAATCATAACTAAAACAGAGAGCGCGACACCCAGGTACATGTTAGTTACAATCTCTTCATCAAGGTCACCATCCATCTATAATAGTAGCATCATACTAAAGTATGTATTAACATTATTTAAACTAATGAAATCACGCAATTATCCAATCACGATAACCTTTATATTGTATAAACAACCGCATAGTTAACCAGTTAAGAAATGCACCATGTTCAATGAGTGAGAATTAATCAGATATGCAAATTACTTTTAAAAAAACTATATAATTATCCAATACCAAACTCCAATAGGAACTTTCTTAGTAGTTCTCATCCAAACTTTCATCTAGCCAACTAAACAATTAATAAATGCACCATGTTCAAGTCATGTGAATTTCTCAAGTGATGCACCACAACTAAATAACAAAAATGTGATTTGTCTACAACTCTTGACTTCTCGAAGGTTCGCACAACACTAATAGACTAAATATTTTTCACATCATTCGTAACAATTATGATCATATGCACTTCTAAGATACAAAATTCAAACCAAATCAAAAGACGGTAATCAAAAAGGAGATATGGGATGTGAGAGTTAGGAAAGTGCGGGGGAGTAGGTTCTTCTTCTAAGAACAGACTTGTAGAAAATCTAATAGTTGGTAGTTTGATAGGTTGATTTTGGTTAAACTATACTAAATTTTGATGAGTTACTTGGATTTTTTTTCATTTGCTAGATACACAACAAAGATGAAGATGAATACTAAACAACAAGTTAAGATTAATCGATGCCCAAGTCCCACTTTTGTCGTAAGATCTCTAATATAAAAATTCATGGGTTCTTTTCATTTGCATTTTTATTTAACAACAATAATATCCATCAATTGAAAACTCAACATCAAAACCCCTAAAGCGACCAAATTATCAGAGATCTAGTAACCAAAAAAACTATAAAATAATAAATTAAAAGAAGTTTTTGACCTCAGAGCAACGAGTGGATCAGTCTTCGTTAGCTGCTGGCAATAATACCCTACGAGATTACTAGCTTCCGATCAACTTTGCAAGGCGGGAGAGAAGGGGAAGGAGGAGTGGGGAAGGAGAAGGAGGAAGAACGAGAGAGAGAGAGAGAGAGAGAGAGAGAGAGAGAGAGAGAGAGAGAGAGAGAGAGAGAGAGAGAATCCGAACCCTAGATACCCCTTTTCTGATCGGTTGTGTACGGAGAGGAAAGTGTGTGTTTTTTCTCCATAATCGGACTTACAAGGGCGAAAAAGCTTCAGCCAGAAAATCCTAGCTAACGCCTTAATTTTGCCGAACCCTAAATACCCCTTTTCTGATCGGTTGTGTACGGAGAGGAAAGTGGGTGTTTTTTTCTCCCATAATCGGATTTACAAGGACGAAAAAGCTTCAGTCAAAAAATCCTAGCTAACGCCTTAATTTTCTCTCACTTTCCTCTTTATTTTTGACAAGCCAAACAACTGATTGTGGGGGCAAAACAATAAAAGCCTTTTTACGCAGTTTTTGTACCAACCAAACCGGCCCTAAATATACTGTTAATTTCCACCCCTATTTGGCAGCATAACATGCGAAAGGAAAAAACTTGATTAGTTTTATCCATCTGACATTTCATTGCCCAAAAAAGGACCTTCTTTCTCGCGCGTAGATCACATCTCCATCAAAATCCAAACCAAGCCATGGCGACGTGATCTAGGCAAGTGGAGGCAAATCGAAAATAGAGAACTTTCCATAAAAAAAGAGAGATGGAGGAGAAGAAAGCGTGCAGAAATGGCGAGATTTGGTCCTTCGAGACGACGGCGAACGCGTCGCCGTCAACCTCTAACGGCGTCATATTGGGACTTGACGGAGGAACGACGTCCACCGTCTGCGTTTGCATTCCTGTTTCAATGGAATCGACGTCCTCCGTTAAAGTCCCCATTCTCTCTAGCGCCGTCGCTGGATGCACCAATCGCAATTCCGTCGGTGGTATAAAAACGAAATCTTGTCTTTGTTTGGAATTAATTCGAACAGTTTATGTGCATTTTTTAATCTATTTGATTTGGTATCTAATCCTACAAATGGATGATGTGTCATCATTGTTATTGTTATCTAAGTCTTTGAGATTTAGTTATAAACACATGCGTTATTTGGGCTTTAATAACCCAAAAGCTTGCCCCTTTCTGAACTTTTGCTACCCGGGAGTCCTATTTTGCAATTTGATACTGCCAATGCGCAAAAAAACTGATGTTAATTTTGTGGAAGAATATCATGTAGAAAGGTGAATAAGAAGCAAATTTCTTACCGAAATATTGTTTTGTGTGTCTGGGAAAAGTGAAATCTTGTCTTTGTTTGGAATTAATTCGAACAGTTTATGTGCATTTTTTAAATCTATTTGATTTGGTATATAATCCCACACATGGATGATGTGTCATCATTATCATTGTTATCTAAGTCTCAGAAATTTAGTTATAAGCATACGGGTTATTTGGGCTTTAATAACCCAGAGTCTTACCCCTTTCTGAACTTTTGGTACCCGAGAGTTCTATTGTGCAATTTGATACCACCAATGTGCAAAAAAAAAAGTTGATGTTAATTTTGTTCCAGAATACCAATGTAGAAAGGTGAATAAGAAGCAAATTTCTTACCGAAATTTAGTTTTTTGTGTTTGGGAAGAGCAACGAACAAAGTTAGGGCTTCGGGTATTGCATTGTCGAAGTAATATCAATTTGAAAAGTTTGGGCTATCAAATTGTCAAAATAGAACTTTAGTGCTAGTAGTCCAATCTCAAAGATGATGATATACAATACAGAGGGATGTGGCCCTTGATTGACTTTTACATTTTGAGTATTGACATGACTAGTGAATTGTTTTTGTTTTTGTTTTTGTTTTGTTGTTGTTGCTGTTGCTGTTGCTGTTGTTGTTTTCTTGGATTATTGGCGCTATTCTACCGTAAAGTTTCATCCTTTTGTTATCTATGATATTCTGAAGTTATGTTATAACACTTTCATACCCCAAAGTTTTTAAATTGACATTAATTTGACAATAATTTGACAATTTGATATCCCAAGGCCCTGACTTAGTTCCTCACTTTGAACTCAAATGACTGAAGTTTGGTTAGAAACTTTGCTTCTCATACACTTTTCTATATCGATATTCTTGAACAAAATTAACATCAATTTTTTGTGCACTTCGGGGTATCAAGTTGTCAACTTCAGAGTTTCGACTTTAAGAAAGGTGGAGACTATAGTGTGAACATACTTTTTTTTTTCTTTAGACGGCAGTTAATTCTTTTTGGGATTGGGTTCGGCTATGTCATTATCTTCATTGCCATCTAAGCCTAGGAGATGTACTTATTAATATATTCACATGGATATAGGGATATTTAAACACTTTCATTACTAGTTTCACATAGGCGCAGGATCGTGTTTGAGATTACTGGTCAGTGGTCACATAAGATGACCACTTTCCCTCGTATGATCATGTATCCTGCTATTGGTTTTAAGAAATTATTGAAGACCATCTTTGATGCATTCTGGGTGGTTCAAACTTCTTTTTCGAATGTGTATTTTGTAAGTGAACAACTTAAGTACCTAGAGTTCATCAGGATGTATACTTTCTTTGATGTTAGAGAAAGTTATGTGTACTTTTCTTAAGTCGATCCACTTATAATAACAGAACTGAAAATGCTGCTGATTTAAAAAATGGCATTAGCTTGGGAGCAAGCTTGGTAAATGGTCAAAGTGGCTTATAAATCACTTTTGTGGCTTATATCATTATACACCACTTTGAGATGTTTGGCAAATGGCTTTTTTTTTGGCTTACAATCCACCAAAAAACAAGCTAGGGTACAGTGGACTATAAGCCATGAGGTTTGACCAAGTAAAAGGTAATTATACCCCTTACGATTTCACAAATTTCAAGGCAAATAACTCACCACCAACCCCATGTCCTTTTTGGGTCGTCATAATCCACCCATTTGCCAAACACTCTGATATTAATGACGGATTATAATCCACTAAATTTACCAAACACCCTGTATTATAATCCACTTGGATTATAATCCAAGTGGATTGTAATCCAAAGTTCCCAAACATGCTCTTGATTCTGTGAAGATTAGATCCCTATTTTATCTTCTATTGTTGAGTATAACGTTAAACGGGCTTCCTTTCTGTTAAGCAGAAACTGCAGTAAGGGAGGCCTTGGAGAAAGTTATGGCTCAAGCCCTTTCAGAAGCAGGTGCTAACCGGTCTGTTGTTAAAGCAGTTTGCTTATCTTTGTCCGGTGTTAATCAGCCTTCAGATCAACAGAGGGTACAGGGATGGTTCAGGTCTCTACCATAATTCTTCTTCCCACAAATTCATTTCAGTTTAAAATTTTCAACCTCAGGCTTGAGTATAGACATGCATATCAGTATTATGATTTTATAATTATTTCAGGTCATATATTTCTGCTATTGCATGTGTTCCGTCCTGTTGATTAAAATGCTCTGAGTTCCTGCATTTTGTAATTATAAGTTTTGTTTCAACACTTGATGGATAACGGAAATCTGAAATTTTAAATGTGTATAAGTTCCCAGTATAAAAGCACTATGTATTTTACTCTGTTAAGTTCAATATGCAGATAAATGCACATGGAATCTTACGGGGTAGCATAATGGATTTCCATGTTTTAGAATTGTAATTTGTTACCGCTAGATACTAGTGGCTGGCTGTATACTTTTGAACATTGATTATGCAAAAGTTTAGAGTTCAAATGGATCAACGGATAGTTATTTCCTGTAATGGTTATCCAAGTTATTCACATACTCTCATTTCACATTCTTGATTGATTTTTTCACTGACCATGTTGATGACATCTACCAAGATCAGAGACTTGGATTTCACCCATGATAACTATCGGGTACAAGTAAAGCTATTGACAAATGATGTTAATCTATCTTATGATGCTAGCTTCAGAACATTTAAAGTATTCAACAAACTTGAAGTGCCGTCAAAATTCCTTCTTCTTTAGATATGGCAAATAAATGAAATTGAATTACTGGAGATAATACTTTTAATTGCAAATAAGGGAAAGAAGAGTCAATTTGTTCTGCTTCTTCCATATAAAAATGCTTGCTCATTTCTCATATTTTACAGACTTGTTTGCTTTATCAGGAGCAAAACAGCATTTTGTAATAATGCAGCATCAGTAAGGTAGCAAATAGCTATGAGCTCAAACTCTTTTTTTCGGTGACCTAATCTACCTTATTTTATGCCAATACCTGATTCCACGCCAATATGCTGTTGCATGTTTGCACTGGCACATTACTTGTAGTTGTTTCCTTTCCTTACAAGGAGAATTCACACATATTAAGTGATAGAACAGAAAATAATAGAGAAGCTTCTGAAAGATGAAGGGATGAAGATGCACATCTTTTTTTTATCTTCTTTCTATTGCTTTATCTTGGAGAGATGAGAGCGAGGGAGGAGGGTATGGAAGAGTACTATCTCACATTCCAAATTAGTTTTGGTTATCTAATTCATTTTTTTCCCTAGCTCAATCATTTTATAATTATATAATGTAAATTAATATACTTTGCCCATTTCTTAGTGTGTAAATCATTCAGTGTACTGCTCTCTTTACAGAGACATTTTTCCAAGCCATGTTAAGTTGTTTGTGGAAAATGATGCGGTCGCAGCATTGGCTAGTGGGACAATGGGCAAACTCCATGGCTGTGTATTGATTGTTGGGACTGGTTCCATTGCTTATGGGTTCACTGAAGATGGAAGGGAAGCTAGAGCTGCTGGTGCTGGACCTGTTTTAGGGGATTGGGGCAGGTTAGTGTTTGTATTTCTCAATATCATAATCTCGAGTGTTGGCATTTTTTCCTAGAAACCACCTTAAAAATAGAATCATTATACATAAACCACCTTTTATTTTCAATTTATATGTAAACCACATTTAAAGTAGGTTTTTATTCCAATCAACCACATTCCAATCAAGATTATCACTGAAAACCCAAAAATACCCTTAAAAACTCATATTCAAGACCCATGACTCACTTTGCTAGTGTTAATGTCTAGTTAGGATATGAGTCATGTATCATTAATGTGCATTTTTATAGTTATTTTTGGTTCTTTAGTAAAATTTTTACTAGGAGATGATTGCTTGGAACGAAAACCCACTTAAATGGTGATTTATGTATAAATTGAAAATGAAAGGTGGTTTCTGTGCAATGGTCCCATTTTCAGGCGGTTTCCATGAACAAATCCTTAATTTTAAGTATCCTCTAGTTGTAGTGTGTTTAATCAGAAGAGTTGCAGCTAATTGATGGTGTCAGTCAATAAATTATTGTTGATTGTGTTTTTTTTTGTTGGGGGGGGGGGGT